CCTCGGTGACAAGAGGTTCTCCTGAATCTGTCTCCTGGGAACCCCTGCCTCGGTGATCATTCCCAGCGGTTTCTGGCCCCTCCACCTGCTTTGCTTTCTGGGCCCCTCCTGTGGTACCTCAGACACAAGACCATTGAGCTGTTGAGAAAGTTGTCGCAGGCTCTCAGTTGATGAGAAAGTTCTGAGGAAGGAGACACAGGGTCAGGGGTACAGGTGGCTCGATGGGAACAGCCTGCCCTGACTCCCTCAGCAGGGAACACTTACTTCGTCTCCTCCATGAGATTAGAGCAGCTGTCAGCATCGTGGCTCTGTTTGGGTTGAAACAAACCAGGTCATCGTTCAACTTCTGATGGTCACCCAGGAGGAGGTAAGCCACGCTCATCATCCCAATACCCTTCCCCGCAGTCTCCCCTGTCTTGGCCTCCCTATGCCAGACCCCAGGAGGAACACCTGACTGTGGGGACCCAGCTACCTGAAGAGAGAAGAGCATTTGGAGGTAGAGTCCTTTGGGAAGAAGGACAGAGCAAGCAGACAGGATGGCAACAGGCAAAAGGCACAAACCTGCGGAGACGCCATGCTAGTGAGCTCAGCATCAGGGGAAGGGACAACACCGAGAAACACAGTGTCATCATCGGCAGTTGGTGGTACAGGAGGAGTGAGGTCTGTGGGCGCCTGTCAGAACAGAGCAGGGGGTTAGGACATCATGCGGAGAGGTGCCTCACTGCCGTGGACGTGAGGGGGTGGGGCAGGAAGGGTAGTGCAGCCACAGTCACAGGACAGTCACACATGCTGGGCAGTCACACATGCTGGGGGCTACTGGGGTAGACACAGTCTGCCCAGGTCTCAGGCCACTTGGGAGCATTTTCAACGGCCAAAGCTCAAAGCAGGGACTGCAGGGCTTCCTTCCTAAACACCCCAAGGCCCTGTTCTCACTGGAGCTCTGACACGTGGCAGCCACAGTGGTAGAAATGCCCAAGTCAGGAGCCAGAGAGCTAGGCTTTCTCACCATGACCCTGACTGTGGGCCCCCCCTCGTGGGTGGACTCGTCACCATGGTGAATATAACCAATTTGCCCCTTTCCTTTTGCTTTCTGGTCCCCACCCCCACTCCAGCGCCCCAAGCACTGGCTGCATTTGTTGATTCAGAAAGCAGAGAACAACATCTGCCCTTTGGCTCCATCACACGACCTTCCTAGGAACAGCGTTAGTGACCAACCCCAGGATTCAGGACTTGGAGGCATGTGGAAGTCTTCCCATTTCCCCAACTGGAACTACCTGCTTGACCAGCTGTGCCCAGTCACTCCTCAGGCTCAGGCCTAACTCTCAGAACAAGTCTCTGGCTTATAGATCTTCCAACACCCACCAGGCCAGAGGGGCAGAGAACAGGAAAACAAAGGGAGACTGCCAGGGAGCCCAGGCCTGCCCAGGGAGGCGGGTCTGGGGAGGAAGCCGCCATGCCTTTCTCCAGAGAGTGGGCTGCCTGCTTTCTGGAACTTTCAGTTCCAGCCTCTTGATACTCTCGTCGACGTCCCTCCATTGAGCAAGTGCTACAGAGCCTTGGTGAACTAAGGATGAGCCTCACTCTTTGCAGCTGACCATGGCCCTGGAATCCCATGTGTTAGGGTTCCAAATAGCAGCTCCCCCCAGCCCCAACAGGGACCTACAAACTCTGCTGAGAAGCAGCCTGCCTTTCTTCTGACCTCCAAAGATAAGATAGGCAGAGTTCCTCTTAAGAGGAAAAAGAAAACACTTCCACACCCTAATCCTACCTGCTTCCCCCTCCCTGATTCCACACCCTAAAGCCCCATATGTAAAGTCCCAGCTCACAACCCGTGGACATCTTTCCTGGACATCTTTCCTTCCCTGACATCCTTCCCTTCCTTCCCTTCCCCCTAACCCCTTCCCTTCCCTTCTCTTCCCTTCCATCTTTCCCTTCGTGGACATCTTTCCCTTCCCGAGGGAATGGTGCC